TTGGCTGTCTGAAGAATCTGACATTCAGCAACTGAGCTGTACTCATAGCCTAAGCTGCTCTTTGCTACCTGTTCCCACCCTAGCACTGTTTCAGCAAAGTTATTTGTCTGAAGGGTGAATCTGGCGAGCTGGTTCGGTTGAAAAGTAACTGTTTCTGTCAGAGTCTTTTCAGTGAGCTTGGCTGCCTGAGCTGGCTTACGCCTCGGCTGAACCGATGGTTGTATCCGTGCGGGAGGAGGACAGCGAAGAACCGAGGAGCTGCTTTTGCAGCTGCCGCCAGCAGCTCGCGGAGCTCTGCACGGTGGGCAGGATGTTGTGCAAACTCAATGTGAAACGCAGTTTGAAAGTACTCTTTTTACGGAATTTGGTAGTTTTATCCTCTATTTGTTAAGGGGTTGATTGTAGCTGTAAGAAATGATTGTTTGGTTTTGTTTTTAAAATTGGTCTTTTAAAATTCACTGCTGAATTTCAATTGAAAAACTTTGTACCAATTGATTCATGTATCCGTTATGCCAGAACTTTTACCCTGCCTAGTGTAGCAGAAAAACTTCACCTTTAGTTCTCAGAAACCTTCCTTTCCCAGGGGACCAGCTCCGTTCCCACTTCCAGTGGAGCGCTGCCAGTCTAGCAGCTATTTCACATTTAGGCAGCTGCTGCGGTAGGGTGTGATGCCAAGCCCCCTGCGCAGAGCCTGGCATCCCCCGGGCTGCTGCTCCTGCTGTGCTCTCTCCCATCCCACGCGAACACTCGCTCTGTCGCCGGAGGTGTCGGGAGGCCCTGGGCTGGGCAGGTCCCCGTTTCCCTGCCACGTGCCTACAGATCCTGCCGTCCAGAAGCACGGGGACGGCTCCTGCACAAACAGCTCGGTGTCAAACAGGGATGTTTGGGGCCCCCGGCGTGCAGGAAGGGCTCGGACAGCAGGGCGTGCTTTCCTCATTAGTAATGGCTTGGAGGGACCTCGTTTTGCAACTGAGAATTAACTGTTTGGACTGTATTGGGTTTAGCTGCTGGGAATGTAAACAGCCATAGCTGCTGTAGTCTGGGCTTCCTAATCTCAGTTTGAGATGGTCTGTGTTCATGATATCTCATGGGGGAAGCTTGCAGTGGAGGGTCTCCAGGCTGACGGCCAGCTACCAGCGCTGCTGGGCTTGATAAAGCCCTTGGGAGCACTCTCTGCAACTAAATCTTCCAATCCTTCATCAGTTTTTAATTCCAGAAGAATTTCTTCATTGCTTCGTGCTACCAACTAGGTAAGATACAAATAAGACCTAACGAGGGATAAGGACTGGAATTTAAGTAGCAGTTAAAAAGAAATTCTGTTATTTTCTATGTTTGCTAGTTCTTTAATCAGCAGAAGGAATTAACATCCCATGAAGCTGCAATTAGATATAAATTTTAAACTAGTAGTACCTGTTATTCAGAGGGAGACAGAGGTACCTTTGACGGTTTGTTGCTTTTTCCCTGGTCAGTAAGGAGATAGGCTGTGCTGCTAACGCAAGGTTGCATTTTCTGTTTCATGATTGTGGTCACTCAAAACCGATATTATTTAGTGGCTCTTTCTTGGCTTCCTTATTAAAGGTGGAATGTGGGTCTGCAGGAAGGGTGAGGTCTTCCCTCTGCATTTCCGAACCTGATATTGTCGTCAGTGGCTTTTCTAAATCGATGCTGGCCTGGCGACGCTGGCCTGCTGCCACTGATGACGGGGGAAGGCATCCCTGACTTCAGAGGAGGAGGTCTGGATTTTCAAGCTGTGACTTTAAATCCTTGATAAATGAGTTAGGTGTACAAAGAGCACTTAAGATAAATATATGAAAATTGTTTTGCACTTCACATAATGATAGATAGTTTGTGGGTAACCATATTTAAAATGGAAACCAACTTCTGCTAGCACATTACTGAGCCATCTTTGCTTTTCACTCAAATGGATATAATTTCCTAGGAAAAGGGAGGGGAAGGAGAAATCAAACTTTTAATGAATCTGAAGTTGTATGTAAGCTCTATTCTGCTCTTTGGTTTTAAATTAATGTTGTGGCTAAAGCCATTCAAAAGTATCCAGTAACTTTATAGTAGTATAATGAAAGGTTCTGTTGAACACAAATATGGAATAACATTAGAAGGAACTTTGTTTCCTCTAAAGATAATTTCTATAAAATGCACTTTGTGATTCTCAATAACTAAAAGTGAATTTACAAAATCTTACAGTAATTTGATTATTGCTGCATGGGTGGGAAAGATTCTGTGAACTCTGTCAATCACTATTCTTGTGATTATCAGCAGTTCAGTGGTTTTAATGATGTGTACATATCCAGTTGTAAGTACTCTGAAAGTTCCTAGAAGTTGTTTTGAATCACGCCACCTGAGGTGGCTGTTTTATTTCCTAAAACTGCCGGTTAGATTTAGGCTGCATGTTCTTTCCTGGTATGTCAGATCTTCGCTTCTGTGGTGTCTGCTTCATATCCCGTCAGTATGTAAGTGTGTCAGCATCCAGGGTGAATGAACTGCTGAGACGCCTTCGTCTAATCTGACTTTCTCTTAGACTGAACCAAATTAGGGACTAGAGAGAGATACAGGTGAGGCAGGGCAAGCTTCGGTTGCGTAATATGGATGTAGAAACCAGTTGCTTTTTTTTCTTAAACTGATCTCTAGGCAGAAGCAGCAAACTGAGACCTGGACATACGTGAAGATGAAGGCAGCTGCTCTCCTATTACTTTTGCTGTAGTCTGTTGTACCTGTACGCCATGTGTGTGGCACTGCTGCTGTCTTGCTGCTTTTCCCAGTTACCCTGGAAAGATTGTGTCCACTAGCAGGTCAGCTGCTGGACCTCTAGTAAACTGTCATGCTCATCTTTTGTTAAAGGCCGATTGCTTTAACTAGAAAATATTAATATGGTTGGAACTGCAAGTAGCTATTCTTAAATATCAAAACTAAATCATTTCCAGTAGGCCACTTCACTTATAAGTGACTACATCAGTTGTTGAAAGAAGTCTGTGTTTTTGGAGATGACACCTTGAGCTGTGTTGTTCAGCAAGCTCATGGCAGGTAAACCCGGTCTGCTCGGCCTCCCTCCTGCTTCCTTCATCCTCCATCTGTGGATCCTGGCGTGCGGCGTGCTGCCTCGAGCAGGATGGGATTTCACCTGACAGGTGTTTGAATTGGTGCCTTTTTATATCCATTGCTTAGGCTGACTTGGTGTTTAAGATGAGCGGTTTGCTAAGATGTATCTCGGTGAGGTACAAAGCTAAAGCGATAGGCCGTTTGATAGCATCGTATAGGCCCTGTGCCACGCAGTCTTTCTTAAAGGTGGGTAAAATTTAACTTCGTGAAAGCTGTTAGTGAAAAGTATCCATTCACCTGTGGAAACCAGCCTGAGAAGAAAATGGTGTTTGAAACCAAAAGCCATGTTCACCATGGTAAATACAGCCCCTTCTTCATGTGAGGCATGTACGCTGTCAAATTCCGTTTTAGAAGCAGAGGTGTCTCCTCTCTTGTGCAGTCTGTTGAAGGACAGAAAACTCTGGCTACTCAAGAATTTTGTGTAAAGCCGTTATCATGCACAGCACTATGTTCCTACAGAAATATTTACTACCTCTGTATTCTTCTACCAAATCAGTTAGCTGATGTGGGTAGTAGTTGCCACTTTAGATTAAAATCTGTTTAAGAATATGCTACACTGTAGCTCTTCCATGTATTTTCTGGTGGGATTTTGCAAGACTTAAAAAAAAAACAAACAAAAAAACCACAAATAATTGCTCTCTAACAGGATGTAATTTCAATCAGACACAGTATTTCTATTTGTGTGGAAAAGTATATTGATCTTGAATGTGCTTTCCTAAACAAATAAATATTACCGTGCTTGCAGTTTGTTGCTATCAAAGTATTTAAGTGGCTTTTGTCTTTATCTTGTTGAGGTTTTGAGCATTACTGTATTCTGGTATTTAATTATTAAACACCTTATGGTTCACAAACAGTTCAAGCAGATAATGTGCCATGAAATTGAAGTCAAATGCTTTAAAAAAACAAACAAAACCCCCAACTTAAAGTAAATCTATATTGTCTTTGGAGGCATTTTGTATGTTCGGCTGATGAGGCCTGATCAAGAAAATGAACTTTCTGTGCGTGAGCAGTCTTGGAGTAGGTTATTAAATGGATTGCAGGATGAGAAGGAAGACGGTGTAGTAGAGGAGGAACTCTGACAGCAGCGGGGGGAAGCTCTCTGACCAGGAAAACCGAGTACTGGAGTACCTGCACGTCCTCTATAGGTTACCGTACGTTACCTCTAGTGGCAATGGTGAATAGGCAAGTAGAAGAGATCACAGGTGAACGAGATTTATCTTTCTCTATTTTATAGATCTAGCAAAGGTAGGATAAAGCAGTGTTATAGCAAATGAGTCAACATCAAACAAATCTGTGTCAACATTAAACAATTTAAAGTTTATGTGCAAACTGGGGTTGGAAGAAGATGTGGAACTTTGTGTAAAGGTTTGGGTATGTTTGAAACAACTGTTAATATTTTGTCTGGAAGTATATGTAAGTATTCAGATATTTTTCTGTTGAGGGTAGGCCTTTACTGGGAATACCATCAACTTTTAAACTTTTTAAGTAATAAATCTTTTCTGTTCTTTTACTATTATTAAAGTCAACAAAATGAGGTAATGGGAGATTTCTGATGAAGGTTGTGTGCATGTAAGGTTAAGGGAAGGTGTTCAGGCTACCATTTCCACTGATTGCTGAAGCTCTGCAGTGGTAAAATATGAGATGAAGTTGGCTGTCCTACTTTTCTTGTGTCTTTTGTATTCCTTTACATCAGTGACTTTACATGACTGACTGACAACATGAAGTGAAATTCACGTGGCTTCAATACATATTTGCATTCTAGTGAAGTTGCGCAGGATTGCAGTTTGCTTTGTGTTAAACCGTGTGCAGTCTGAACTACTGTTAGAGCTTGGTGCTGGGGATTTGGGGAATGCCAGGCTTTCCCAAGCACCCTGGGCAAGTCATCCATGGTCACTGTGCGGGGGCCAGGAGCCAGTGCTACCTACGACATCGTGAAAGTGGTGGTGTTTGCAGCAAGGGTCATAATGGGATTAGAACTTGGAACTGAATGGGTTTTGTTGAAAGCATTGTAGCAATCTTTGACCCTGAACATGCTAATTAGTCTGACAACCGTCTTTTTTCCTCCCTTAGGGCTGAGAAAACCGAGGTGCTCAGTGAAGACCTGTTGCAGGTATTGTAACACAGCTAATATGTATTTTTTCAAATGCGGTTTGTGAAGTTTGAGCCTTCTGAGTTTTGTGGAGTACCTAATGTGGGGGGAGAAGAAAATACTGCAAATGACAGGGATGAAAATAAGGATGTCGCTGGCTGACTTCTTGCCACATGAAAAAACTATGATACAATTTGAGTGGAAAAACTCAGGTACTTCTGTTCCTGAATCAGATCATATGGCTTGATAAGGTGGAAGCATTTTTGCTTTTAATTAGATGAACTAGCTTGTTAAGCATATGAACCATTAGTGCTGATGACTTGCCAGTCTGGTAGAGGAGGATGAGCTGGGAAGAAACTATGATTGGGCACAGCTGGTTTCTGTCTTCATTTCTGTTTCTCTTGAAGAGGTCAACTTGGGCCTTAAGAGAAGTGGCAGACCAACATGCCAACTGCTTGCTAATAGATAACGTCAGTTTTTTCTGAAAGTCTGGAATTGGTCTAAATAAGTGTACAAATGCTTATTGCTTAGCTTGTGATATTTTGTTCTCAAATTTGTCACACTGACATTTGATTTGTTTGCAGACTTGTCATCTTTTTGAAAGTATACCATCTAATTAATCATTCCTTTCATGGTGGAATTTTAGTTGCAACTATTAGATTAACAATGTTGACTGATTACATGGAACAAATTTGACTATAGACTTGCTATACATAGTTTTCTTTCTCTGGTTACTTTGTGAAAGACTTCTTGAAAAAAATGGCAGAACATAAATTGGCCAGGGATGACAGGCTAGCTGCTCCATGGGACCTCAAGCATCATGGTTGTTTCAAGTTGATTACAAAGCATCTTAGTATGCTTAAGTTCAGGACTTGTGTATGAAACATGGAAGCCAAACAAGTGATGGAAGTACTTTTATTTCACATCTCTCCAGCTGTTCAGATTAAAGTAGAACATGAGAGAATGTATCAGCCTTGAAACTTAAATTCAGAACAAATACATGAAACCATCTTGAGTAATGGTGAAATGAGCCAACCTGAAACATTTTACCCTGCTTTTCAGGAGACTGCTTTATTTGAACCACAAATACCTTAACAGTTTGACAATGCTGTTTTTAATTTCTGAAGATATGTGTACAATTAAATGCCATAAAGGATGTTAAGACACCTTGATAGCCTTCAAGGGCCCATCTGTTTTCTTAGTTAGCTGCGGGATAGTAACAAGAAGTGAAAGCCAAAAGTACTGCTGCTTGTTGCCAAAAAAATTTTGCAAGCAAGGCTTTCCCAGGCACAGAGCAGACTGACTACACCCAAGTGGAAGAATTTACTCACTTGTTTGTTTGCTCTTGGGGACTTGTGGAGGGGAGGGAGGCTCTTATCTAACTAAAGAGCTTTAAAACGTGGTACTGTTCACTTTATAAACATGTTTCACGATGTTCTTTTTTTATATTTAGCTCAAGCTTTGACATAGTATTGCCATAGCTTGTTTTTTGAAGTGTAATACACCATTTCAAATATCTCTGTTGTGTTCCTGTCTGAAGACAAGGAATATTGGTCTGGCAATTTGGAATGGACAAGGAAATTCGGTACTGGAAAGGCTTCTACAATAGACCCGCTTTCTGGGATGCCCTTCTAGCATATAATAAAGCAGTTGTGTGATGTTTTGTACACTGAACATGCCCTGTGGGTACAGACAGCATGGCCTGTAGGTCACATCTTCACTTCAAAGGTAGCTTAATGGAGATTAATGTCCTTCATGGTTTTCCTGACATCTTTGAACTAAAAAGTAGATCAGAGAGGAGCGTATATTATCATGAAGTTTTAGGGTCATGTTCCTCCTATCAGTCTTCTGTCCTCTGAGTTTGGCTTCCAGACTGCCTGGAAAGAGGCTGTTGGGAATCTGTGTGCTGCAGAGTCTTTCCAAGGAATGTAAGCCACCATGCATGGCTGATGAGGGCTGTGTTAGTCTGCTGGGATCTGTAAGATGATTCAGTTACAGGATGTCACCATGTTTCAGGCATGGAAAAAAACTATGCTCAGTATTTTAAGAAGTCTTAACTACGTGACGAAGCAAAAATAAAAGCTTTCACAAATAGTGTATGGTTTAGAATATGTTGGTGGTGTTTAATTTTGAGGATAACAAAAATTAATCTTCTTAGCTGCAACAGTAGACCACAAACAGTACGTTCTTGTTCATTTGTCTTCGTACAGACTTTCTTGAAGTGGACTTAATTTTGAGCTTGTTGAAATATGCTCTGTAAGTAAAAGGCAATGCCTCGTGCTTTCAGAGCAGTCCTTGGGCAGTTTCTCTGCACCTTACTCTACTGTAATAGATTTTTACTAAGCTTTTTGAGCACTTCAACTTGGATTGATCTTGTGGCTATCAAGAGCTTTTAGTCCCTTTAGTGCCTTCTGTAGCCAGTGAAACTTCAGTCTTCCTACATTGGTCCTTCAACTCGCCAGCCCTCCTATACTGGTTCTTTTTCACCTTCCCTTCGGACTTGCAAAGGCTGCTGCTGGGCGGCGCAGCGCCAAGACCCAGCTGTGGGGGCTTCTCCAGGCTACAGCTTAGCAGAACTGCTGCTCCTTTCTTCTGAAAGGAAATGGGGACCCCAGTCCTGCACTTGCTTGAGTGTTCAGGACAGGGCTCCTGTGTGCAACAGCAGCGATTCTGTGCTGATCCTCACCAAGTCCCCGTCTGTCTGTGCCTCCCTCCGCTGGCATCTTCTTCCTTGCAGCTTCTCCCAGCCTGCACCCCCAAAGGCTGCTCTTCTGTCCCCTAAAGGGACACAGCTATCCCTTTTAGTAGCTGTGGTTTTTACTAGCTGCTTTTGTTGGGACCTAATTACATCCTTCCAGTTGTAACCACATTAGGGATATACACATCCCATCGTAGTAGTGCCAAATATACCTGTTGGGGAGGAAAAAACATGTAATTCTTACCTGGAGGTATAACATTCTCAGTAAGATTTTATAGCATTTCATGTTCATTAGAACATAGCGGTCTGCCTTCTCCAGAAAAACCAACAGTCTGTCTCCTGCTTTAAATCCAGGAACAGTGCCTGGATCCAGGAACAGGAGCTAACACGGGGCATAATAACTTCGCCCTAAAATTACTACTGTGTCAGCTAATCTGTATTTATCATTGATAGGAAAGCTGGGGAGAATTAGTGCCCTCCTGAAAATATATTATATATATAGGAGTGACTTTAGAGCTGTATCAAAAACTGGAGTCTCTTCAGATTATTTCTACAGATGAAATCCACTTTTTTTCTTGCTTTTTAAATAGAAGCCATTCCAAAGGGCCTCCTTTTATTCTTGATGAGTCATCAAAATGCAGATAAACTGCATTCTTTTGGTGCTGTACATAGAGAGCTCGGTGCTGTAAGCAGTTCTATCCCAGTGCTCATCATTTTGTTTGCTTTTGGTGTTCTTTGAAATAAAATAGTCCAAATTCCTTACTTAAAATCCCTTAAAAGAACAGTTTATTAATGTATATCTTTGTCATATTCACAGTCTATGTATTAAGCCATGTTTCAAGTTATCTATGATAAACAGAACTATTGTTTGTGCATTGATGTCTTTTTTTTTTTATTCCACGCCCCTTTTCAATCCCATTAATCTCTTCTTGATAATACTGTTTTGCTTAGCATGTAGGAACTTTGTCCTTGTATGTAACGGCCAGAGAAGGAAAACTTGCAGTATATTGGTTTGGCCTACTGTAAAGAAGTGGCCAGATATGTCTTTCGATATGTCTTTCGCCTTCTACTTTAGAAGGTCACAATGAAAAAGTATGAGAATTTTCCCACAATTTTCTCTCGAAATTAGTGTTAGATGTCTGCATGTGCCATTCATCTCAGATGGCAAGTATTAACCTGATTCTCTTTTGCCGAGACAAAAAGTAGGGGCAACATCTTTCTCCCTCTTCCACTCTCTTGTGAGCATCGCGAGCTCCAGATGAATTGCTGTAGCACTGAGGGGGGAAAAAAAGCAATGTAAATCTCTTTCCAAGCATTTTTGCTGTCGGGCATTTCTGCTAAGCATCTGAACTTCTTCTAAGCTGTAGAACTTGAGAAATACGCAACCCAGAACTAAGTGTGGTACACGAGGAAGATCTTCTGCTGAGGCCAGGGAAATAACTTCTGGTTTTTGTTTTGTTCTCTCTTCCTCCTCTCTCCCCCTCCTTGCCGACTAGATCGAGAGACGTCTTGACACTGTGAGATCTGTTTGCCATATTACACAGAAGCGATTAATTGCATGTTTTCAGGGCCAGCATGGTACAGATCCGGATAAGAGACATGTAAGTACAATTGCCCTTTGGCTTGTTTTCCAAGACTAGTCTGAATATGGTCTGGCCTTCTAAATACTGATCAGCTGCTATGCCTCAAATTATCCAAGGGAAGAAAAATTCTGTAAAATCATCTCACATGTTGACATTATTTGGTAAAATGCTAGCTGCAATTCCCCATCCAAATATAGTAACACAACCTTGGAGTACCTTAGTAGTGTCAGGACACTCCCGTGTTTCTGCAGTGTGCTGAGTAGTTACAGCTTTCATGACACCTAAGAAGAGAAGATACTCTGCAACTCTGATCAAGCTCCTCATATTTAGAATTACCTTTGTGCACTGATATCTCCAGTTAACTGTAAATGTTTATCTGTACACATTTGATTTCTGCCCCTCTTTGGCATAGCCATAGGTAGGTTTTCTGAAAATGTTAGAACCAGAAATAATTAACATTCAAGTTTTCTCCTTTATTGAGTAATAGAGACCTCCTGAAAGCAGGGGCACACAGAACAAACCTCTGCAGAGAGATAAATGCCAAGCTAGTTGCTTCAATCTCAAGTTAACTACTGTCAAAGACAAATAAACAGCTTTGAAATATATTTTGGGCCAGTCATTCCAACTAAAACAGAGAAGAAAATGCTTTTCAAAGTATCTGAGAACAGGAGTCTTAGGGCTTGAAAGTTTTTGTGACTTGGCGTTTTCTTAAAAGTCAAAGAATGTGCTGCATATGTGTATAATAGAAACCATATGGAAGAAGAGAAAAATCTTAGAGAGGACATACTGGGAAAGCTGGAGAGGGTGAATAGCGCTAAGCTAAGCACTGTTCCTTCTGTTCCATAGAAGAAACTTCCTCTAACAGCTCTTGCTCAAAATATGCAAGAAGGATCTGTCCAGCTAAGTGATGAAACTCTGTTGGGGTAAGTGTTTGGCTTTCTTTATAAGTTGCAGTCTGTCATTTTATTGCCTGCAGGGCTCTAATTAGAGACTTTGGTTACACAAAGGCTGTTTTCAATCTAATGAAACTAATATTTCTAAATTCTGCCTGTAATCCAAAGGGAGAAAAAGTGAGCAGGCATTTCTTTTTGAGTGATTCTGGGGGCAAGTTTTAGACTTGCTCTGAATTGTATTCCTGAGGCTTCTGATCCTCAGCTAACTTAAAAGCTTTTGAAAACAGCTTTTATGCTTGTGGATTAGTACAGTCGTCATCTCCATTTAAAGTTTAAAATGTAGCATAACTACTGCATTCTGCAGGTTTGTGTTAATGATTTAAATAATGCCAATTTGCATGAATGGCTTCTAGTTTAAAATAATGCCGTTTTCCTTATACTGGCAAAGCGCATATTTGCAACTTACAAGAAAGTGGCTAAAACAAATGAGCATCATTATGCTGAATTCCTGGAGCAAATGTGTTTCCTCATTGCTGATGGGAATTGTAATGGAAACAGTGTGGAATGACCTTTAAAACCTTTGTGTGCATTTTTGTGAGCTGTTGCAGGAGATTTAAACATGGATAAAAATCTTAGAGAATTGGGTTTTCCCTTAGAACAAGCTTAAAACAAAGGTCAAATCATGGTTTTGGAACCTGAGGCTGCTGCATATGTGATTGCTTAGCATTATGGTGTTAAGACTTTCTCACATTAAAGGGGCTTAGGAGAAAATTAAATACTGCATAGAGCAATTTTCCTGCACCTGGTGGCATGGAAGGATGGGCTTTGAAATAAATACTAACTCCTCTGCCCTTAGGGACAGTATAATCACCTGGAGGACTTTAAACCTCCAAAAATGTTGTAATGGCTAGGGAATTTTAGAAGACAAAGGTTTAACAACACTCCTTGCCTGTCCCAAATTTGCCCGTGATGGCATAGAGCATCTTGGGTTTATGCCATTAAGTAATGCCTTGTTTTATACCATGCAAAGCTTTCCAAGAGGATAGCAGATGACAAAGGGCCACCACTGTTTTGTTTTGAATCTTTCTTCTTTAGTCAGTAGTAGCTCACATTACAATTTCCTACAATTCTTAAAGGAAAATGCTAGATACGTGTGGTGATGCAGAGAATAAACTGGCAATGGAGCTCTCTCAGCATGAAGTACAGATCGAAAGAGAAGTTTTAGATCCACTGTGTCTGCTAACAGAGGTAAGTCACTTCAGCCTGGCTGAAGAAATAAATCTGGATTTATGTATAAACTGAGGAAGAAGGGTTTACCTCATTGCTAATAATAAAACTGTTTTACGGAGTCACGTGTCAGTGGTGGAAAGCAGATATGAAATCTACAAAATGTAGTTTATTACAATACACAATTTTAAAATAAATGTAAGCCTTAAATTCTTGTTCTAGACAGAGATCCCGAACATTCAGAAGCAGAGGAAGCAGCTTGCGAAGCTGGTGTTGGACTGGGATTCTGCAAGAGGAAGGTCAGAAATAGTTTTAATTACTAGGTCCTTTTCATGTTAACTTCTTGTTGGCATCTCATGGCATCTGATCTGATGCTGGTACTTACTTCTGAAATGCTACTGTATGCATGTTAATACTTTGCTGAAAAAAGGCAAACTTAAATGTAAGTTATTCAAAACATGACTCATGAGTGCTAGATCCAAACACAATAAAGATTTTGGAGCTCTTGCATGCCTATATATAATTGGAAAAATGCTGAAAACTCATCTTCTTCCCAGTTCACGTAAGTTGTCAACTTAAAAAGGAATAGGAGTCTAATTTTGTAGCTGTGCCAAGTGCTTTTACAGCATTAGATTGAACCATCTCATTGGTAGGGTCCTAGGTTTTTTGGCTCACCCTGAAGTCCCTTTAAACAGTCTTAAACTGTGGTGATAATTTATGCAGCATTTTCTGGGACTGGTAGTTCTAACATATTATATACCCATGTTACAGGCTGTAGAGAATGCAGGATTTCTTGTGGATTTTTATAGTTGTTTAGCTGTTTGTGAATTATGCCAGCGTGTCATAAATGGTGTGTTTTGAATACCTTCCTTAGTTCTGTTGGAAAACCTCTGAAACCATTAGGTTTGTTTTCTGTCAAAAGAAACCAATTTCAAGGGAGCCATAAATGCAGATTCTTGTTTAATATTAGTTTTCACCAAATGACTGAAGCTTTTCTTCCACAGATATAACCAAGCCCACAAGACTTCAGGAACAAATTTTCAAGTGCATCCTTCGAAAATAGAATCTCTTAAGGAAGAGATGGATGAAGCTGGAAACAAAGTAGAACAATGCAAGGTATGACAAGATGAGTCTCTGTCCTTTCCGTACCTCTCATTAGCAACAGTAGCGATCAGAATATAGCTGCTTCTGTAAGCCTTGTACCTGGAACTGGCTGTCTGATTACTGCAGTCGCAAATTACGTGGCTGTTAACAAACTGCATGTCTTAAAGGTATATTAATGCTAGCTGATCTCTGTCTGAATTGCTTTAACTTAACAAGAAACTTTGTTAGGTTTTTAAGATGGGTGTTTTACATTATTTTCTGTTTCAGTCTGAGACAGTGACGAGAAGGAATTGTGTCTTAGCCTTGACTGAAATGTTCAGGGTGTCTGGGTGCTTCAAGCCACTGAGCTACCTGGATGAAATTCAAGCTGCTGACATTCTGACTGTTATGGCTCAGAGCAGTTCACATTCAGTTTCACTTCTCAGTTGTGAAACACTGCATGATGCTGCAGTTGAGCTGAGCACCACAAGCCTTTTAGTAGTAGTTGTCTTTGTATGCAGAGATTGACTGTAAATAACATACTGCCATACAATCCAATTGTTGACTTCAGTGGGCAACTGCTTTGCTATATAAAAGTTAGGCATTTGGAATGAATTTTGCTTGGAAGAATACGTGTAGCAGGCAAAACAAACATGTACTTCTGTCTTTCTGTCAAAGTTGAAATGCCCCTGTAAATTTGATGTACAGTTTTGCATTTTTTTCTTTTTTAAAGGATCAACTAGCAGCAGACATGTATAACTTTGTGTCTAAAGAAGGGGAATACGCTAGATGTTTTGTTATGGTGAGTATTTTTTCAGTATGACTTTGATTGCAGCACGTAAGTGCATAGACACTCAATTCTCAAAGACTATATTTTGTGTGCTAAACCTTCTAGTCTTATATTATGTGCTCATCAGAAGCTAATGCTCTTTTTGTTTTTAAAATGTGGCTTCTGTTCTCAGTTATTAGAAGCACAAGCAGATTACCATAGAAAAGCATTAGCAGTCATAGAAAAGGTCCTACCCGAAATTCAAGCCCATCAAGGTAAAGTAACCTGTGCTCTGGCTGATGCTTCTCCTTGCCTGTGCCACCTATGCACAATATTCTCCTCCTTTATCTTGATTCTCTTGCATGCAGACTTACTTAATAAGGCCATTTTGATCTACTTAACAATTTTACATTCCCAAGCATAATTCCATCTTTGTGTTCTCTGGAGATCTCCAGCCATATTTTAACACACTAATAAAATATTAAGGATCTGTCTGATACCCAAGATGGTAAAGGAAGGATTTTTCTATTTGCTTGCACATCTTCCTTGATATCATGTGACCTTTTGCTAATTCATACCAGGTTTCTTAGGCAAATGAAAATTCCATTTTGATTTAGGAAGGTCTTAGGGTCCTTGATTTTTTTGGAATGATTACTAGACAATTATTAGAAAAACTCGTCTTATTCTAAGGAGCTTGACTTTTTTTTCCTCCTTTTATGCAATCCTTTTTCTCAGTGTGCACACTGCACCACACCTGGCTAATGGAGTGTTCAGATTGTGTTGAATACCAGCAGTTAAGAAGAGCGAGTAATACGGCTTCATTTCTTCCCCATGCTACTAAGCTTTCCGTTGTCAGTGGGAGTTAAGGTGTATCATTAATGGTTTGATATGAAGATGCACTGTGGGTTGTTGAAATTGCTGTACTGTCTTAATCTTCTAATTGCTTTGAAGAAGAATTAGGCTGAACAAAGTCTGACAAAAATACAATCTGAGGAAGATTCAAGTATCTTCAGTTGTGGACCACATGCAAGTTGTAAAAGATGAACCATTTAAATGTATTAATAGATATGAGCATCTTGCTGAAAGAGAATATAGAATATCTGTACTCTGTCAATCTGATGGGAGATGAGGTAATGCAAATGAATCATAGAATCATTATGGTTGGAAGAGACCTCAAAGATCATCAAGTCCAACCATATACCTGATGCCACCATGCCCACTAAACCATGTCTCGAAGCGCCACATCTAAACATTTTTTGAACACCTCCAGGGATGGTGAGTCCACCACCTCCCTGGGGAGCCCGTTCCAATGCCTAAATGATGCTTACACAGCATCAGGGCTGCAGTAGGGCTGTATGGAAGGTTCTCTGTTATGGATATGCTGCTTTAAACTTTTTTGTTGTTGCTTAGCTGCTTTGTACGAGCTTGTCATATGATAAATGCTTTAGAACAGATTAGTCTTCCTAGAACATGGGCTAGGACGCATGGTGTCTAAGTGTCCAGTGTCTAAGATCTAAGAGTAAGGCATTGCTTCAGTTGTGTTTCTAGCTGTAGTGTAAATTACTGTGACTTTGAACAATTACTAAGATTTCTCTTCCTAGTGTTTGCTGTAACTTGCAAAGTGTTTGCTGTAACTTGCAAAACTGGGGAAAATGACATTTGCCTTTCATGGTGTGTTTACGAATGAGAGGAACTAAAGCCTATGGGATGTAGTTAATGTGGCTTTGTAAACAAAAAGGGTAAATTAAATCCTTTGCGGAAACACATTGTGTCTTCAGAGGAGTCTTTCAAAGTCTTTGTCTGTCTTGACCTTTTTTCCACATAAAACAAATAATGCATCTGTACTAACAATCACCTTTTACATCTGCATTTTTTCAATTGAGGCAGTAGAAATGGGTGAAAAAGTAAATTGCAGGGAACAAGACATTCACGTTCAATTTGGAGAAACTTGTGCCAATTTTGACTTTCAGAATTAAGCAACAATCAAGAAACTGAAATGAAAATTTGTGCAGGCGTTACAGTGATGGGCTGTCAACGTGGTAATTCTAATGTAAGACACTGAGGCTGTTAGCATCCATTTTAAGTTGCTGATTCCATAAATCAGCAATAAACTTCATGTTAACAGCTGTTTTTATCCACCTTAAATACAGTTAAAACTAAGATCAGCCCAGGTCATGCAATCTGGACAAAATTTTTCTCAGAGTCTTGCAAACTTAAGCTTCTTGGTGTCTTTGCAAATCAGAATTAATGTAATTTACAGCCATGTGGTGGCACTTGTGTTAAGGCCTAGTGGGACATGCACTTGCGGTTATACAAAGGATTTGCATGTGATATTCCATCCAGAAAGATGCAGAAGTATTTTTTTCTTGAACACCAGCAGGCTTGTTTTCTCTTTATTCATGATATAAGGGACTTTACCAGTCAAGGGCTGTAAAACTCCTACTGTATTCTGAAAATTTCTTTGCTGTCCTGGAGGCTTTTTTCTTTTCTTGTCTGGAACATAATTCAAGTGTGTGTTAGATATTTTGCTCAGTGTTTTGATACTCTCCAACTAGACAAATGGACTGAAAAGCCAGCTTTTGGAACTCCATTAGAAGAGCATCTCAAGCGCAGTGGTCGTGAAATTGCAGTCCCTATTGAAGCCTGTGTAATGATGCTTTTGGAAACGGGAATGAGAGAGGAGGTAGGTAATAACATGTAACATGCTATGAAGGACAGGAAAAAAGAGCTCAGTCAAACTCACAGACTGTTATCTGTACTTTTTAACAAGTTGCTTAAGTAATTTTGTTCATTAGTATAGATGATAAATCTTTTGCAACAGAATAACCTTCAACGCTATTTGAAGTATCTTTGAGATGAATGCTTCTAGAATGAAAAATTAGGAATGGGCCATGGGTGAGAGGGAACTAAAACATTGTCAGATGGCAGTGACACATTAAGAGCCAGCTAGGTCGTAACAGTGTAAGGTGAAGACACCAAACTAGAAACTATTCTGAAAGAGGCTGTCATGAAACTTCTGCTGTTTCATGCTTGTACTAATGTGCTGTTACCAGTCATATATTTTATTTTTATTATGCAGGGCTTATTCAGAATTGCTGCTGGAGCCTCAAAGTTAAAAAAGCTGAAAGCTGCCTTGGACTGTTCAGCTTCCCAACTTGATGAATTTTATTCTGATCCCCATGCTGTTGCAGGTATTGTGAATGTTCTGAATCAAAACCGGGTATAAATTGATACAACACAAGTTTATGCTGTTCATTTAACTGTTGACTCACTGCAGTGTAAGATGCTGATCTCTGCAGATAAACTATGAATGAAAATAAATTGAAAGTTCACTTCATTGCACAACTTAACACTGATAGGTATAGGGTACACATGTTCATCACACTTGATGTATTCATGTCTGCTTGACGGAGTGGTGTTTAAAATTCAGGTGATCATAATAATCCAAATATCATATTTCCTCTCGTGACAAGAGTGTTAAAATGATCAAGGAAGATTAAAGCCATATGTAGACCTTTAGTAAGGTCTTTGTTCTGAAGAGATGATTCATAGTTTTACAGTACATGTTTCTGTCAAATTACAGTAATTACTGGAAGACTTTTTGTGTTAAACGTTGAGCAGATATACTATAGAAGTGTCAGGTCTTCTCACTGTTTCACTGAACTTGTGTACTATTGCATAGATAAAATTGCAAATCTAAGGACAGAATTTTAAACGAAGACTGGAAGCATTGGCTAAGAAGTTAGCCTGTTTCTGGTCTGCATTGCAGGTGCCTTGAAATCCTATTTGCGAGAGTTGCCAGAACCTTTAATGACCTACAGTCTATATGAAGAATGGACGCAAGCTGCAAAGTAAGCATACTAAAAATAGTTATATAGGAAAACATTCCACATATTTTTATTAGATTTGGTTCTTAATATATTAATTCAAAAGAAAAGAGCAAGCTCACCCAGTTTGCTTTCTTATTTCTGCTCTAACAGGTAAATATTTTGTGTAACATTGTTTTAAATTTTATGGTTTATCCTAATACTAATTGCACAAAAATGTGGTGAAATACCTATTTTGTGTTTAAACATAAGGGCTGCTTCAGGCTATTGGCTGCACAGTATTGATGCTTAAGCAGTTTTCTTTCGTTGCGGATAGAGATAATTCAGGATTTGACTAGCAGGTTACTGAATACACAGCAGTGCATTTATTTGGCATAAATGGAAGGTTATACAGTCATCCCTTCACTGCAGAAACAACAATTTTCTGATCTGAAAGTAATATCTAAGGTAATTTTTTTTTCCCTTTCAGTATTCAGGACCAGGATAAGAAGCTACAAGAGTTATGGAGAATTTGTAACAGATTACCTAAGCATTATCATGCTAATTTCAGGTACGTATGAACATCTCCTGGCTTGCAGCACAGCTGCTTTGATGCTAGAGTACTACGTTTCAAAGCTGGTTAACCAAAACTCTAATCCACATTTTTTTTGCCTTGGCCAAATTCAGTTAGGTTTATAAAAGGGCATCCTGTTTTATCAAGTAGTTGGCGTGCATTGGTGGTGGTAGACTTTTTCTGCCAAGTTAATTCACTATGATTGTAATGAAATAGTGATACATAGAACTCTTCTACTTAAGGGTCATGTGTTCACAGTAGTATGTGACTTTTCACCAACTGTGCTCTTCGTTGTATTTTCCAGTCTTGGAAATCACCTGGATGTATCTTACACGTGTTGTTTTTCCTTTTGGTTTTGCTTTTTGGGAATGAATCAGAACAAGACCCACTCTGGTGACTCTTAGAAGTGTGGAAGTTCCATTACAGGATGTGAAAATAGCTGTTGAGTAGGCATTCTCAATCTAAACGTTTTTTCTGACAATGTAGTAGTTCTGTAGTTCCATTTTGCTAAGATGGGAGATTCCTGAGTAGAAACTTAGTAGCCAGCTGTCAAGCAAGAAGGCTGTTCGTCTTATTTCTGTTTTCTTGGGAGTTGTCTTTGCGAGTTCTTGAATTTTTACTTAGTTGCTTTCAACAAGAAATGCTCTTGGTTCCTGCTCTTTAATTATTTCTTTCCTTCTTGTAGGTATTTAATCAAATTTTTAGCAAAGCTTGCACAGAACAGCGATGTTAACAAAATGACACCCAGCAATGTTGCAATAGTCTTGGGCCCCAATTTGCTATGGGCAAAGAATGAAGGGTAAGTTGTTTTAGGAAAGCTACAAAACAGAACTTCCATGAAGCTGTAGAATTTCTTGTCATTTTTAAATTGTTTTAAATCATGTGGACTATTCACAGCAACAGACTATTTACCTAAAAAATATTTCAAATATTCTTTCAACCTGTGCCTTCAGATCCTTTTAGGCATGCATCTTTTTAGGAGTGTTTTCAAATGCGACGAATGTTACTGAATAGTCTAGGTTTCATCGAAGTGTGAAGTTGTTCTTTATGTGGTACTTAGGAGTCTTGATACATCAAGCTTAGCACAATTTGTCATTTAGATAATGTGACTTTTTAAAAATTTTCTTACTTTAATAGAACTCTCTATAAAGTGTTCTACAAATTTCTCCTGCAGATCCCTTGCTGAAATGGCAGCAGCAACTTCAGTCCATGTGGTAGCAGTTATTGAGCCAATTATTCAGCATGCAGACTGGTTCTTCCCTGGAGGTAAATTCTTGCCATAGTTAAAAGAATTTTGTATTTGTGATAACCCTACGCAGGTAAACCTCCAGTAGCTTTTTGCAGTGAGGCACCGTTTTGTATATGTATGTCTTAGGATGTGTTCTGTCTGTGTCTTTCTCAGATCAAGATTTCAATGTGTCTGGGGCATTTGTTGCAGTTCCTGCTGTTAATTCAAATCACTTGTCACACACTGGGAATGAATATGAATCTGGGACACTGGAGCGGAAGAGGCCTGTTAGTATGACTGTAATGGAAGGGGATTTATTGAAGAAGGACAGGTATGTTTCATTCTCAGGTTAGGTTTCAGTTATTAGCCCACTCCTGAGGACTTGACTACTGAGGAGGCTGTAGTTGGACACACTTTTACTGGTCTCGGGAAGAGAATTTAATGGAAATCCTATAGGTAACAATAGTGATTTATTTCCCCTCCATGTTGTTGCAGCCTGAGGAAGGTTCAAAGGTAATGTACTGGTATTTGCTTCCAGTTATACTCTATGCATGATAAAAAACATGATAAAAAACAAGCAGGTAATTACTGCTTCCAATTACCATTTTCCTATTACAGATTTGGGGGGTCTAAAATCCACTGAAACAGAAGTGTATATAGTAGCATCTATCAGTATCTAACTTCTGATATTCCATGGCTTCTTTTTCAAAGCCCATAAGCTGAGGTGGTGTTACCTGGTGCCTTCATGATAAGACTTCTGAGTTGATGATGGTACAGTATACCACAGCAAACAGTAGAACGTTAAAAAATAAAAATAAAACGTGCTGTTTTCCCATATAACATGTAGTGTAATGTTCATTTATTATCACTCATATCACGAATATTCAAGTGATGTGCTATTTTGTTTTTAGCTGTTTATGCAAATGTTAAATTGTTACCTGAGTGTTAACTATGGCTAGCCACAGGCAAATTTATCAGCACTGTCAGAGGAAGAAGAAAATCAATTCAAGATTGACTGTCTTTAACTCAACAAGAATAAAATCAAATTCTAGAATGAATGTGCTGTATGCATTCTGAAATCTGGTAGAATTTTAGTCTGTTTATCGGTAACACAAATCATAGAGTATATCCAGTGGCTTTTTTTGTCTGTCTTGAAATCTGTACTGCAGCTTAGTGTGTAATAGAAACAAAATTCATGTGGCAAAATGTACTCAGTGAGGAGATACTCTGGTATGTAAGGAAATGTATGTATTTACATGTAAAGTTACTGAGTGGCTTGACCTCATTGTCATCAGTGTCTGTCTTCAAATGTAATTGGGTAGTTTATTCCACTTATGTGTAGCTTAGCCCTCTGTGTGGATAAGTCAAATAGTGTTGCATGTCTTAACATTAGTCGTGTTATATGCAGAAAGTTGAAGCTTTCCTCGTTGCTGCTTTGCATGCTAAGCAACAGGGGTTGCATTTGTCTTTGTGGGTTATAACATCCACTTGTCCTGTTGCTTCAGTTACCTGGTGTTGGCTGGCGTGGTGTGTTTACTCTCTCTTCTTTCTGTAGCTTTGGTGTCAAGGTTATGGACTTCCAAGCGAATCCTCGGAGATGTGGCACTATAAATAGAAAGCACACATCCCCAGCTTTCCAGCCACCCCTTCCACCCACGGAGGTTGGTGTGCTGGCTCAGTCTGGGGTGGAGCAGCACTCACAAGCTTCTGTGGCTGAAACAAGCCCAGTGGGTGCTGGTTTTGCTCTCTCTGCTGGCACAGCAGAACAGTTACAAAGTCAAGGAAATGAGGATGTCAGGTAAGAGGCATGGCTTCTGCTGGCAGTGGCTTAGCAGGCTGCTTCAGCAGCAAACTGATATGTCAACTGTATCTGCTGCACAAGGCACCTCCTCAAACTGGAATGCATGTTGTCATGTGTAAAGCCTTTTCAGGCGTGGGCAGAAGCACTCTGCAGGAGCTTTCTTGCCATGTGTGTTGTTCCAGAATTGATCTTCTAAAATAACATACATTGTTCTGTATGTTCCAGAATTGATCTTCTAAAATAAAAGAATTCTCGGGGGGGAAAAAACAGTGGTGAAAAAGACTGTACTTCTACTACCCATGTTGACCTTTCCAAGTTATACTCTGGAGGTATCCACACAGTATGACTATCAGTTTGCTACTGAAAGATCAAAACCTACCAGTGGCAATACTAGAAACCTGCTGGTCTTGTTCATTGTTTCTTGTACATGTTCTCTGGATATGTCTCTTTTTTTTTTTTTTCCTGTAGCAAGTGTTAGTGATGACCAAACTTGCTTGCTAGAAAACTGGAAGTCAATTTATCGTATTTCAATATTAGTTTCTTTAGGACTAGCATGTATGCAGGCCTTTTTTGCTACTTGATTACTATTGAAGCTCTGTGCAATCGTGCCCCCAGTATTAGCATACACAGACTCCAAGAGTAATTGCAGTAGCTTTGACTCTTCCTTTCATGTGTGGGGAAACAGCACTTTGCTTTCAGTATTTGTGCGGTCTGAGAGATATACCAAACCACACGTAAAGGCCTGTAGCACACTCAAACATCGATGTCTCGCACAGAGTCTTAGGGTGAAACACCGCCGTGGACTTCGATGCAGCACTGACTCTTTTTCGTATAGCTCCTGTTTACAGGTGACACTTTTACAAAAACAACTCCTCATCCGGAAATCCCCTGCAGACTAGTATTTCCTCCACAGATATCTTTTGTGGCAGAGGCAGCTAAAACGAAACCTTAAGAGTAGTGTCTAAAAGCTGCCTTTACAATCTGCACAGACTCTGTGTTCAAGTACTTGCAATTTATGAACAGCATCTGGAGAAATTAGCATCGCAGTGTGCCAGTAAAAGTGATTAAAAGTTAGTCCTTTTGAGATGAGTAAGACGCTGCAAGACACTATAGAGAAATGACTGAAGACTGCAAATGCAGAGCAAGAAGAAGGGGGCACTGACCAGTACCACCTCAGTTGGTTCGTACGCCAATGCTGTGTTTCCCTCCCGGTTCTGTTGTCTTCATAGCCAAAGGTCAGGGAGAGCTGAGTTTCCTGAGCTGAATCTCAAAGGTTTTACGGGGGTTGCTCCCTCAAGACAAGTTCTGGTCTCCCAGGAAGGTAAAAGCTTAATGCCAGGTAGGGTGGAGAGAAGACTTCAGCCAGACGATGGCAGGAAAAGAACCACTGCTTTCTTTACACCCAGCTCTTGCAGTCCCTGGGCCTTCCCAAGGGCTTCCAAAGGCCCCAGAGACTTCAGCAG